AGAGATACCAGCTTTTACCAGATTATATTTATATGATAATTTTCCTTTAAACCCATCTCTATCTAAGTGAGTGAGTGATTAAATGTTGAATGTGATGAGTTTTCAACAATACTAAATTGAAACTTTATTTTTTTTACATGGTTTAATATTTTTTTGTTATTAAAATTGAAGTTTCTGTTTCAAAGCTTACAGATAGATGGCTAATTTGTATGTCATTGACACTTTTGGCACTTTTTTGGAGTATTTTCATAAGTTTTGTTTTTTCCTTTAAATGATGCAATAAATACCGTACCGTGACATTCATACCGAGGTATTACCGTACCGTGAAATTCTGATACCGTTACATCCCTAGTAATAATAAATGACAATGATAATAAATCACAAGTACTACACTAACTACTACTACTACAGAAAGTTACTTATATTACAACTACTATTGCTGCTACTACAGTCACAACCACAACTATTACTACTATAATATCTACTACTGCTGATACTACCACAACAATGACTACCACTACTGATACTACAGCGTCTGCTACAACTAATACAACGTCTACTACTACTACTACCGCAATCACTGCTACTACAACATCTACATCAACGACATCTACTACTGGTACTACTACACCAACAACGATTGCTACTGCTACAATGACACTTTTACTACTTCTGCTACCACTATACCAACGACATCAACTACAGCAACTAATGCTTCAATAAATCACAATTACAATCGATACTACTACAATGACTACTACCACAACACCAACAACGACTACTACTACTACTGCTACAACGACACCAGCAGTAGCAGTTCCCACTGATTACTTAAAAAACTTGCTCATGCTTCATCACCAGCAGGATGGATTACAGTAATGGACTTCTCACTGGCCTTTCCAAAGAGACAGTAAGCTCATCCAGAACATTGCTTCAAAGATTTCTTACCAGAACGAGAAAATCAGAGCATGCCACATCTGTCCTCAGGTCTTTACTTGCTCCTAGTTACATTCAGAATAGATTTTAAAGTATTACTACTTGCCTATAAATGACTTAATGGCCTAGGACCCTAATGCATTACAGATATGCTCACTGAAAACAAATCTAGCAGATCACTCAGATCTTAAGGATCAAATTCAGTCAAAAGCAGGGTGAATCCGCCTTCAGTTACAGCACCCTCTGCTGCTGAAATCAACATCCAGAAATGATCAGATGGGCTCCAACATTAGGTACATTCAAATCAAGACTGAAAACAGATCTGTTTAGCTGTGCATTTACTGAATGAGCACTGTGCAACGTCCAACAGATCACACTAGTATGTCTTTATTTTATTTTATATTTCTTTAAAACACATTTTAATCTGTTTTAATCATTTTTATTCTTTGTTTTCATTTTTTTATACTTGTATTTTATGTATATTTTTTCTTGTTTACGTAAAGCACTTTGAATTAATATTGTGTATGAAATGTGTTATAGAAATAAACTTGCCTTGCCTGCCTATTTATAATTCTTAATAATAATAATACTGAGAATGATTACCATGATTATCAAATTGTAAAGACTACATTTTAATAATAAACTTAACAGTAATGTAATTCTACTGTTGTGATATAATAAAATTCATAATAATAAATACTGTAATTTGATGTGTTAATAATGTTAAATATATTATAAATATACATAGCCTTTGAATCTCAATTTAGCTTTGAAGTACATGCTTACATACAGGTCAGACCTGATCAACCGGACAGGCGCAGCTGAAGGATAACAGAAGCTTTCAAAGATATTAACAAGACAAAAAGGACAAAGGTAAAGTCAGCTGACAAAAATGGACTGTGTTTTGCCAGTTTGAGAGTACAGTATTTGTGTGGATACTGCATAATCTTAGAGCTAATACCAAATTTTTGTAATCTTACATATGATAGTTTTAAGTAATTCCTAATAACTATTTTTTCTTCTTTTAATATGGGGGGGGGGGGGGGGGTGGCAATAATTCTGAATTCAAGTGTAGACTAATTTACCATAAGACAGGATTTTATGCAGGGTTCAACAGTAAGGATATTTTCTTTTGGCCTGATTGGACCAGTGGTTCAGATTGTAACTTGCCCTGCCAAATGTTCACTGGCCCCAACCAAAAAATAAATAAATTGCTAATTCTTAGCCACATTTTTTTTTAAATAATGTGCCAAAAGTAATGCCTGTGAATCTAAAATTTAAATATTTAAAAAATGTTAAAATAGTTAGCAGTAAAATAAAGCAGAATGGAATATGTGCATGTATTTTATTGCAAAACAAAAGTTGTCTGACTTAAAAGTGACGGCAAACTATGCAAAACATCACTTCATTTTTTTCATCGTGTTGTACCCATGTAAATATTTGTTTTCACAACGTTACAAACAGATATTTTCTTTTAGCCTTGTAATTTAATGTTACCGTTTCTTCGCTGTATGTTTTTTTACCAGGTTGTGGACAAAAATAACGTGCTCACAACATCCAATGAGATAAAAGGAACCAAAAAGCAATATGGTGTTTATGACTTCATAGAAAAGGTAACATTCAAAGACTTAAAAGCACAAATTGTTTCTCGATTCTAAGACTGTTTATATGCAATTGACCATCGGGCAGTCCTTATTGTTGTGCCCTGTTATGTCATTCAATATTTAGTTTGGATGTAATATTATATAGCTGTATTATTTGTGTATTCAAATTATCACTTTGACTACAATTCGCTGCAAGCGTGCATGTAGGAAATTTAAATGCAAATCACCAAAAATCAGGAAGGAAGAAATGTGGGTTTGTTGGTTTCACGGTTAGACTGTACTTTTTTTTCTTTTTTTTTTTTTAATTTCCACTTACGTCCACTTTAGAAAAGTGAAGTAAAAACGTCTGTCATCTTGGACCAGTAATCTCGTTTGAAGCTAAAGTCTGCACGAGATCATGAGCTCACAGTCTGAAAATTCCACCTGACCTCCCACAGACACAATCACGTCCTGATTTTATTGCAAATAACTACCTTAATACAAATCTATTACAGTTTTTCTCCATTGGGTTGACTCATTTCTTAAAACAGAAATTACATTCTCAAAATTCCAAGATTATTTGCCAAATCAGTGTTACAGTTTAGTAAAACACTATAGCTCACTTGCAAAAACTCATACCTTTCCTAAAACAGTTCACTTATGTGTCAAAACTAAATTGCCTTCTCATTTAAACAGTCAGTGCCTCCAAAATGCTTCGTCCCTTTAGCATAGTGTAAGCACTGCAAGTCAAAATGTTTTGTCATTATGGCAAAGGACCACTAAAATATCCCTCATGTCCACCTTACAGTCTTAGCCCAGTCCTACATGGACAATGGTTACTGTACTGTTTTTGTCTAGCTAACAGAATACAATTGTGTATAAAACTGAAAAAAGAAATAGGATTTTAGGGTAAGAGTAGCCTCCAAGGTTTGAAGTCACACACTGCACTCATACTGCCAAGGAAATGGTGACTCCTTTTTTTAATTGTAATGATCAACCACACACAAAGTAACTTCCATATATCAGAGCAAAAAGGGGGGAAAATAAAAAATAAATAGCTGTAATAACTCATAATCAAATGTTTCAAGGGTTCACCTATTGTATGGTATTCATGGTATTAGGGTCTTGACTACTGTAATTTTGACAATTGAACAGATTATTGTGCATGTAATGACCTATATAATAAAATGACTCTGACATATTTTGGAGAGAACAACCATTAGACTGAGAATTAACAATCAGTTCAGATCAACAAGATCTATTCACTTGGTAATTGTAATGAAAAATGCTAAATGTCGGCTACCTGTACTTAATCGTTTGCAATGATGAACTTAGACATTTGCAATTTGATGAAATTAATGAGAAATTCAAGTCTGTTGTGAACAATTGCCAAGTGGTTTGGAGGTTTGTCCATACTGTTATGAGAATTTCTGTTTCAAGAAATGAGCCAAACCAATGGAGAAAAACTTAGGAACACTAGAACATCTGTGTAACATGAACCAGCTACATGATAGAAACCAGATATAGACGGACAGACGGACAGACAGACAGACAGATAAATATCAAAAATATTGTGTTTTTAAATACAGTTATATGGCAAAAGGCTGAGAAGGCAAAATTATAAAATGATTAAAGCAAATATTATATGAATGCAAATGAATCAACAGTTTTTTTTATAACAGTTTCACAAACAGCTCAAAAGATTTTAACAATTTAAAAGCGCTATATTAAAAGCAAATGAATGTGTGAGTATTTACTTTTTATTTAAAACCCCTATTTACTTGGTAACTGACTATTCAAAACCTTAATATAATAATATAATAAAAGTTATTAGAATGCATATAAATTGAATAAAATATTAGGAACCAATGGCAATTTTGACAAAGAAAACTTTTCTCAAATTTAACACAAACTTACCAGCCTAGGCTTTGTGCAATAGTTTTTTTTTTTTTTTTTTACTTAACCATATTTTACCAGACAAAAAGTCTGAAAAAAAGTTCAATCATGTCAAAATAGCTTGCAGCATTGTAGTTCAAATATGGCATTTATAGAAAAAAAATGTACTGATACAAATGGTCTTTAATCAATGTTAAATAAACTTGGTTACCACTTATTATAATAAAATCATGGTTATTTTTCCTTAAACTCTGGTTTAACACTAAGATTAGTTGAGATTTTATTTTGAATTAGATCTTCTTTCTGATTACTGAGCTCACATATTTAATTTAGTATCATCCTGCTTTTTGCTAATTGTGTTAACGTTAGCTATATTTTCACTATTCATTTTTTATTATACACAATTTGCTAGATTTTCATTTTCGCAAGCTGGCACGTGTGTTTTTAACACATATAAGTTTACAATTTATTAATTTTATGTGTACTGGAAACGTAACGAACGCCGAAGAACCACTGAGGTGGCAGAACGTGTTGTGCGTCAGCAGAAGGTTCCGCTGTTTCCGCCCGGAACTTCCTCGAAGCGACACCGGTGTCATCAGCAGCCGTCCGGCTAGATTTGCTGCTAGCCACAGTGTATCAGCTGTCGTTTGACGGGATGTTCGTATAGATGACCGTTTGCCCTGCTCGTAAACCCAGCTCCCTGAAGATGTGCCGCTGAAGAATGCGCTAGATGTGAGTAGTTTCGTATCAGGCTGTCAGCAGATGTGTGCTAGACATTGCTAGCAGCTGAATTAGCTGTGTACTGTACATAAAGTCCAGAGGGGGGAAACGCTGCTGTCAAAATCAATCTGTCATCGTCACATTTATGATTCCTGTCAGCTTAGTTTGGACTTCGGGGTGTTTCTCCCTTACAATGACAACAGCTGGTAGTAAAGCGAAACATGAAGGGATTTAGTGCGGATCTGCCGTTTACTGTATGGCGTGTTATTGGGGTCAGGCTCGTTTTTTATCGCGTTGCATTTCGAAAGTAATGTTAATATGGGAAATAAATAATTCTAAATGTCTAAATAATAAGTAAATTTTGCGAGGGAATGCAGGTTTCATCTGCATTCTTGTGTAGTTGAGTGATCAAGACTGGACCTGGCCCCTAAACAGCCTGTGGGCTCCAGACTGGAGTGAGGTAAAGTTGGTTTTATATTCACACATTCGGACTTTCTCCTTAACAATTAATAGTATAATTTCAGAATAGTATTCTTTGCAGTTTCAAAATAGCGAAATCATATAAGCAGCCAATGACTATCAAATAACAACATTGTTCACTGTTGAGTAAATAACGTTAGTGCTCATGTCTTGAAGTCATGCATGTGATTTCAGTCCGAATATTCATAGTACCATGGTAAACAATATAAGGAGCATGTCACTAGTTGCCACTGAACGAATTTGTGAATATTAAACCAACTTTACCTCAATTCCAGACAGACATACATTCTGATTTAGGTAAAGTTGGACATTCAGACTTTCTATTTAATAATATAATCTCAGAAAAAAAAGTTCTTTGCAAATTATAAATGGGGAAATCACATTAGCAGCCAATGACTAGCAACAATTTTCACATCACAGTCAAAAGATAATCATCAGATAATGCCTTAAAGAATGTGTCCCGATGTGTTTAGATCACTCACAATACCCTAGAGGTGTGAACCTATACTGGTCTCACGGTTCGGTTCGGTTACGATTATCATGCCTTCGATTCGGTTCGATTCGATATCTCGGTGCATCACGGTGCATTGACGATGCTTTCCATATACAGTGTTATATTTTGGGGGGGAAGCTATAACAAGTTGTATAAACAGAATACCCTCATGCTCTTAATCTGATTCTTTAAAGAAAAATACAGTGCTGCAGCAGTGATCGGAGGGCTATGGTATTTCAAGGTTTATGTTGGTTTAAAACTTGTCTAATTTGTCACAATTTAGGACCTTAAGGTTTTTAATCAGACTATTAACTTCTTAAAGTCCTGTTACATGCGATAGAAGAAAAAGTTAAATCAAAATACATTTACTTGACATGCAAAATGAAGACATGTAGGCTAATCTTGTTTTCTAGGAAACTGAACGAAATTCATTTGTTTTATTCTTGACATGTCTGTCAATTAAATATGTAAATTAATGTAAATTATTTCGCATAAACTTAAAAAAAGATCTTATGCCATTTAGCTTTTAAATGTTGATTTAACTGACTTTAAAGACAGAAATAATATAGATACTGAACTTTATTTCATAAACATTATTATTTATAATGCGTATTCCAGTGTTTAGGAGCAGAACTATTCAAACGGTTCTTCTTCTTTTTTCTTTTTTTTATAAAATAAGAGATCTGTATATTTAGACACTTATTTATGTAAATAAAAAACTGTCTTGCTTAATTACTTTTCCGAGCACCGATTTGTGTTTCTTTCAAATTATTTAAAAATCCCAAAATTTCATCCTAATATGGTCTGCAAAAACATTGGTTTATATACACGTTTCGTGAATGCGTGCCGCTCATCTATGCATGCACACGCTAATGGTGGATATGCATGAACAGAGATGCGCAAAAGTCCAAATCTGCATTTGTTGACAGACAGTTTGAGCTACTTATCAGAATTATGCGAGATGTCGGCCCGACAATATTTAAATAGATGAACATTTTTTAGTTTTATGCCTTATCCAGTATATAAAAATACATATAAATACATTTAGATCATTTACTGTAATCATTACTATTGGACCGTGAAGAGACTTTCAACCAGCACAACAAAACATGTTTCTGATGACAATCACCTACTGCACCTTTAATTCACAGAATTTCTACAAAGTATACTGTGAACCTGCAGACTTTTTTTTTTTTGTCACATCTATAACGCATGTTCATTTGCCTCATTTAAAGTACAAAACATGTTTACAGAGTGATATTTTTCTGATCACACAACACCGTGGTCAGTTGTTCTCGAAAATGTAAACAAAAGTTTCAATATAATGTTAACGTATACTTTCCATGCGAATTTATGTTTTGAGTTTTCACTGCAAATGTCACATCCATAACTCTGGAATAGCTCAGTTACATTTGTTTAATCAGCCTATGTTTTCCATAGTCCCTAAATGTATGCAAATGCTGGTAATTTGTGGTATTCAAAACATTTTCCCGTTTTCTGCTCCACAATTTATCATTTATCATATTACTTCTGCACGATATTGGAAAAATCTGACATTGAGATATTTTGTTTTACGTATAGCGATATGAATATTACTTCTCCAGGTGATTTAAATAGCTCTATTTAAAAAGATTTTTTTTATTTAAACTGAGATGATCAAGTCTTGCAGTGCATTTCCATAAACTATAATACATTATTATAAGCATATATCAATAACATAGCAAAATAAAAGTGAAATAAACAGCGCTTTATGGTTTTATGAGGAATGTAACAGTATTCAAGTACAGATTGAACAATCAAACGTAAAAAAACAAGGCCATCATTTGTAAATAATTTTCATTCATTCATTTTCTTGTCAGCTTAGTCCCTTTATTAATCCGGGGTCGCCACAGCGGAATGAACCGCCAACTTATCCAGCAAGTTTTTACGCAGCGGATGCCCTTCCAGCCGCAACCCATCTCTGGGAAAATAAATAATTTTAAAATGCAGTATTTAATAATATCTTTATCTTTTAATCTTTCATAATCGAATCCTGCAATGTGACTATTGCGGATACACAAATTGTGATGATATATTGTTCAGCAGCCTATACACAAAAGTTCTGTCTGGTCCTTGAATCTGATTGGCTGATAGTTGTGTGATATTCTGCAGTAACGGCACTCGTACAGGTTCTTCACCCTTGTGTATTACTCCGCCCTCATACAGAGACAAGCAGAGGACACTCTACAGTTTGACAAATATTGCTGCTCTTGGACAACATAATGTACTTTTAAAGGCTTTTTTTTTTTTTTTGGGTGAGAATGTAGTTGTTTAGATTGCAACTATGCAATTATTTACCACCCCGAAGAACAGAAGTTATTTTAGAATAATAGGGATGTAACAATATTGTAAATACCGTCATACCGCAATAGTAATTTTTTTCAATATTACCGTAGTCGCATGACTCAATAAAACTATATTTCTGAGAAAAGTTTACTTAGGCGAATGAAGCGAACGGGAGGTAGCGGGAACTACAATTCCCATCAGCCTAGGCGTGGCCATCATCCTTTGCGGTCTGTTGTCACTACAGATCCAGTAATGCGGAAATGAGGTGTGTTGCTAGTAGTGGGGAAGAAAAAGAGCTGGAAATGATCGAATCTAAAGCGGGTTTTAAATCGGATGTGTGGAAGCATTTCGATTTCTTTCTAAAAGATACGAGAAAGGAGAAAAGGTGACAAAGAAAAAAACATTATGCAGGCACTGCCAGACTGTGGTGAAATATAAGTCGGGGAATACGACTAAAAACAGTCATAGGGACTGCAGAACACAGCACACTTGTTAGATTGATGCAGACATTGACTTGTACCGCAAAGAGACCTCTATCTCACTCATGGCTTGTCCTCTCAATTGGTGGAAAGACAATGCACAACGTTACCCACTGCTGTCAACCTTGGCTAAATCATATCCCTCTGTCACAGAAACCTCAGTCCTAAATGAGAGGGTTTTTTTTCTGTTGCAGGGGACATGCCCAGAGATCCCAACATTTACCAGATTATAGTTATATGATAATAAAAAATAAAAAAAAACATCTCTATCTAAGTGAGTGAGTGATTAAATGTTGAATGTGATGAGTTTTTAACAATACTAAATTTAAACTTTTTTTTTTTTTACATGGTTTAATAATTTTTTGTTATTAAAATTGAAAAATTGAAGTTCCTGTTTCAAAGCTTACAGATAGATGGCTAATTTGTATGTCACTGATATGTTCAGTGCTAAGGTAAATAAACACTTTTGGCACTTTTTTCGAGTCTTTTCATTAGTTTAGTTTTTTCCTGTAAATGATTCAATAAATACCGTACCGTACCATTCATACCGAGGTATTATCGTACCGTGTAATTCTGATACCGTTACGTCCCTTTAGAATAATGTTCTTAAAATGAGCCAAAATAAGTAAAATCTCCACTATTTCTCTAAATACCATCCACCCCTTCAAACTAACCATTCTATGTTTTCCTAGATTACGTCTGCAGTGAGTTTGAAAACTCTCTTGTCATCCGGTTTGTCATGGAGAAGCCCTGGAGGTTGTGGGGGCCACTGGAGGCGTGTTTGCTGAGCGTGTGCGCATGGTCATGGGGATTCTGCCGCGTCTCCCTGCTGGCCCTGATTCTCACCTTCCACCTGTACGGCGGCTTCGTACTGCTGGGACTCATCCTGGCATCGTTAGCCGGCATCCTGTACAAGTTCCAGGACGTGCTTCTCTACTTCCCTGACCAGCCCTCATCTTCGCGTCTGTACGTTCCCATGCCCACAGGAATACCGCACGAGAATGTGTACATCCGCACCAAAGATGGCATCCGGCTCAATCTCATCCTGCTTCGTTACACTGGTGAAAACCCAGCCGGCGCTCCTACAATTTTATATTTTCATGGAAACGCTGGGAATATCGGCCATCGTGTCCCAAACGCTCTCCTCATGCTGGTCAACCTAAAGGCCAACGTGGTTCTGGTGGACTATAGAGGCTACGGAAAAAGCGAAGGAGATCCCAGCGAAGATGGACTCTACCAGGATGCAGAGGCTACGTTGGATTACGTCATGACCCGGCCGGACATCGACAAAACAAAAGTTGTGCTGTTTGGCCGATCTTTGGGCGGTGCGGTAGCCATTCGCTTGGCATCATGCAACCCGCACCGAGTGGCCGCCATCATGGTAGAAAACACTTTTTTGAGCATCCCGCACATGGCGGCCACCCTCTTCTCCTTTTTCCCCATGCGCTACCTACCGCTCTGGTGCTACAAGAACAAGTTCCTGTCGTATAGACACGTGGTGCCCTGCCGCATGCCATCGCTCTTCATCTCGGGCTTATCAGACCAGCTCATCCCGCCGGTGATGATGAAGCAGCTGTACGAGCTGTCTCCATCTCGGACTAAACGCCTTGCCATTTTTCCAGAGGGCACGCACAACGACACATGGCAGTGCCAAGGTTATTTTTCTGCCCTAGAGCAGTTTATGAAGGAGCTGCTTAAAAGCCATGCACGTGAAGAGACGACCCAGGGGACTGCCAGCGTCACCATAATCTAGAACAGGAACTACTGCGCTAAATCGGGACCCTCTTGAATAGAATGTACAATTTGTTTCTCACATTTTGTTATTCCTTTTTCGTCCCCCAACTTCGTATAAAGCTCTTTTTTTTCTGTCGATCATACATCAAGAGTTCCTTATTTACGTTCAGTTATTTTAATAGAGAAGACTGCATTTTTGAAGCCTTCAGAAAACTTTTCTTTTGGTCAGTTTGTATGTTACACCTCATGCATTCAGCACCCTTTTTTTTTTTCTTCAAGGAATTTAAGCCCTTGAAAGTTCACTAATAGGTACCTAAAATGCAATTGGAAAGTGCAAAACGCCTAACTATTTTCTTAACGTAAACTGTTGAGTTTTACATTTAAATTGTTAAAGTAAAGGACTACTTAACCCAAAAAGCAAAAATTTACTCACCCTTATTTAGTTTTAGACCCATCCCGGCAAACATTTTTGTGTTTAATAGACATCTAATAGACATCTAAACGTAGAGAGCCTGGCTAAAACAAGGCTAAACTTGGGCTGCCAGTGAAAATCTAGTAGACATCTAAGAATAGCCCAAAACTAGACTAGTCGTCAAATAGACAGATTAGACAGACTCTATATGTGTAGTCATTCATTTCTGTTTAGTTGATGACTATTCTAGTTTTGGCCTCTTATTATACGTCAATTAGATTTTCACTGACAGACTTAATTTAGCCTTGTTTTAGCCAAGACGACTATGTTTAGATGTCTATTAGACATCTATTAGACATCTTTTTTTTTAAACAAAAAATGCTTGCTAGGTTATGTGTTTTTCTTTATTTTGTTTTTTTTAGTTAAACAAGAAAAATGTTGAAATATGATGGCAACCATAGTCACCAATGATGATTTTGAAATGTCTAAATATATTAATGTGTGTTCAACAGAAGAAGCTTTGGATATGTCTGAAACAGGGTGAGTAAACAATGACAGAATTTTCATTTTGGGTTGACTAGTATGGAGTCAATCTATTGCCAAATATATACTTGCAAAATAAAAGTAAGTTTTGCAAAAAAAAAAAAAAAAAAAAGTATTAAGCAAAAATAAATAGATAAATGCAAATCTCCAAAAATCGCAAAGCAAAAGTGTATTTTTAAGAAATACTGCAAAGCACGGCAAATAAAAATAGAGCAGTGGAATAAAAAGTATGTGTGTGTGTATATATATATATATATATATATATATATATATATATATATATATATATATGTATGTATGTATGTATGTATGTATGTATGTATGTATATATGTATGTATGTATGTATATGTATATATATATATATATATATATATATATATATATATATATATATATATATATATATATATATATATATATATATATATATATATATATATACACACATATATATATATATATATATATATATATATATATATATATATATATATATATATATATATATATATATAT